CACCCATCTACAGAAAAAGACAAAAGCCTATCTCACAGCCATAAATACTGCACTCCCAAGCCAACTACACCAGAGCACAGGTTGCTGTCCTCTGAAGATGTCGGCCACAGAGACTGGCGAAACGTTGGGAAGAACAACCTTCAGAAGACGGCCAAAGAGCCCGAAAAACCCAGAACAACCATTAAATTCAACTTTACCTTCCAATGACCATTCACAGAAGAAAGACTGCCTGAAGGTCTGTATCTCCCTTTATGAACTTTCTGGCCCTTAAGATTAACAGAGGAGGCCTTCTTTCAACCCCAATGCCATCACTGGCACATCTGATGGGGACACAAGAGACAGCCTTCCCTGTGGCTGGTCCCGGATTGTGGAACACTCTTCCTTTGCCGTAAAGGTTAGCCTCCTCCCTTTTATCATTTGCCAACAGTTAAAGACTCGCCTCCTCAGGCACACTTTTAATAACCATAACAGAGTCTCTGGATGCTAGTTTTTAGCCAGGTAAGTTTGTGTTTAAAGTTTTAAAATGTTTAAAATTGCTTAAACTACTTTTAATTATTGTTATTGTTTAATTGCTTTCTACTGTGTCATTTGTGTTTTTAATTTCACTTGGTTTTAATGTTGTGAACTGCCTTGGGTTTCCTCATTGGGAGAAAGGTGGCCTAAAATGATACAAATAAATAAATAAAGCATAAATAAACAAAGCCTACTAAATGTAAGTTGTGTAGGAGGTGAGGGAAATTACCTGCAACGACAAAAGAAAGTCTTTCACCACTTGAGGGAGCATCTCTACAGAAAACAAGGTAAATACTTTGTCTAGTTTAATCCTCAGTTCTTAAAAATGACAGGCAGAGATCACAGGTTGAAAACTGGCAACCACAGTTTCCTCCGGCCCTTTGAAGTTTCCTCCTTTCTCTTGGAGAAGGAGTTGTCTCTGCCTAAGTCAGATCCACACCAATCTACCTCTCCAAAAGCTCAGGCACTGGTCATTCCCAACTCTGTGGGATCTCTTTATTCTGGTAGTATCAGAAAAAAAGCCATGGCTGGATATTTTGCTAGCTGAACATTGCTTCACACAAGATAACTGCCACATTTGGGACTACGAAGGGGTTTTCAAGTGTCAGATTAGTTCCTGATCAAGACTGTTTATCTGTGTGCTTTCCAATCCAGGGTATGATTGGGACATTGGCTGAAGCCTCCTAGATGGTTCTTAAATATTCCTACATTTGGCAGACATTACTGGCAGGGCTTAAAAGCAAGGGACTCAACTGACTCCTGCCCAGTCCAATGCCTCAATCTACTCTCATAAAAGCCATCTTTCAGGGTTTTCTCACTGAATATGACGGAATGCTTACTTTCCTTGGACGGACAAAAATACCTATATGGATCCTAAGTATGGAGATACTGCAGGTGATATTCAACTATGGTATAGTGATTGGATGAGGAACTCTGAGACGTAATTTTTAGTCATTAAACTCTCCAGAAGACATTGGGCCAGTCACTCTCGCCCCACCTTGCCTACCTTAGGCCTTTTGTGAAGAAAAAGCGAGAGAAGAGCCATGTAGGCTTTCTTGGGCTCAGCAGAAGAAATATCACTGATAAATCCCCGCAGACATTACTGGCAGGGCTTAAAAGCAAGGGACTCAACTGACTCCTGCCCAGTCCAATGCCTCAATCTACTCTCATAAAAGCCATCTTTCAGGCTTTCTCACTGAATATGAGGGAATGATTACTTTCCTTGGACGGACAGAAATACCTATATGGATCCCAAGTATGGAGATACTGCAGGTGATATTCAACTATGGTATAGTGGTTGGATGAGGAACTCTGAGATGTAATTTTTAGTCATTAAACTCTCCAGAAGACATTGGGCCAGTCACTCTCGCCCCACCTTGCCTACCTTAGGCCTTTTGTGAAGAAAAAGCGAGAGAAGAGCCATGTAGGCTTTCTTGGGCTCAGCAGAAGAAATATCACTGATAAATCCCCCCACTGCACCTCCTACCAGTAGAACCAACCTATGTGGCCTTGGGCAAGCTGCACAGTCCCAGGATACTCCCAGAAGAAGGGAAGGGTAAACCACTTCTGAGTATTTTCTACCTGGAAAACCCTGAAAGGGGGCACCCTAAGTCAGAACTGCACATGGTTGTTATTTATAAGTACAAAGGAGTACATAAGTACATTCTGCTGGATCAGAGGATATATGAATGAGGTCCAGCATTCTGTCCCTGGCAGTGGCCAAGGATATTCACAGGCATGAGGTAATAGCCACACCTATATCAGAATAGGGTATACCGTACTACTGGCATGCAGCAGAAGTTCTTTCCTTTCAAGATACAATCCTAAATATCCAAGAATGAGTTCTTTATTAACACTGACATAGAAACCAACATTAACTTCTCTGTCTTGCCAAGTGTTTGGTTTTAACAGTAGTAAAGACTGTTTTACCGAGAGGTTCATTTGTATCAGTTAAACTTAGCTAGTCAAGTGCCTCCAATACAACTGCAAGAAGTCCATTCATGGATATTTCCTGAATGAGGGAGAAAATAAAATGTACAATACATATTTCATGGTCAACAAACTGCATACTGTATATATTACATGACATACTAATATAATGTGTTTAAAAAACAAAAAAATACATCCCACAAATGAAGGAAAAGTCAGATCGCAAATTACTTCGCAATAAATTAAGGTACCAAATGAGCCATACATTTTCATGCAGTCTGCTTTGTCCAAAAATTTAAATCTCTTCAGCCTCACTGATGGTACACTGCATTTTGATAGTATTTTGCATGGGGCAGAACCACAGCTCCCTCCCCCACCCAAATCAGCCCAGCCAACTCTATTTATTCCTTTCCTCTGCTGTCTCATCCATCTGATTGGTCAAACAGGTTTTAATTCTGTGCATGCTCTTATTTTAATTCCAAAGTGGTATTCTTATTCAAATACAAATAACTTCACAATGAACAACTTTTAGTTTAAAAGCTACATACTGCTCTGCAGACAATAAAAGTGAGCATATTGGAGTGCACAAGCTAACTATTGCTATACCGGCATAAAATCATATAGACATGATCATCTTGTCCTACCTTAGGAACAACCAAGATACCAAGTATACACCTGCCCAGTGATAGCAAGAGACAATATGAAAATGGACCACAATCCAAGTATGAAAAGCTTTAAAGTAGACCTGGCAGAATCCCCTGCCTAGCACTTGCACTAGCTACCAAGTGCCCCTGAATGTTTTCTCACCAAGTTCTGCTCATGACAGGCATGTATGCATCACAGACCTGGCATGGAGCAAGAAACATCAGTGTGTTCCTAGTTTTTGGCTTATCTATCAAAGGGGGGGGGATGAAGTCTCACTCCATTGGCAGAATAAGGAGCAAAATATTGCACAAAGGCCACTGCACCAAGCAGAGCAACAAATGAGACACATCATAGCAGGAAGATGCTACCATCTTCTTATCAATGCTTGCTACTATGCCTATTTTCTCAGCCACATTTGTCTTTAAGATTTGGAAGCTGCTAGAAAGAATAGGCTTCTGATCTTTCATTTGCCCTTCTAGATCAATGGTTCTTCATCCAACACATTCTTCAGCCATATCAGGCAATAATAATAATAACAAATAAAGAAGACAAAAACGTTGTGGCACCTTAAAGACAAACTGCTATATTTTAATGTGAGCTTTCAAGGGCAAGGCCACTTCAACAGACATTAAAGTGGGACTGCTCTTATGTCACCAGTAGGACACATGATAGGGTATATAATATATTAAATATAGCAGCTAATCTTAAGGTGCCACAACATTTTTGTCTTTTTTATATTTTTGCCTGATATACTAGCACAGAGTAACACAAATTCTTCTTCAAGGATGTGAACAAAACATGGTGTAAAGCTTGCTTGCTTATTCATTCATTCATGCCACCTTTCTCCTGATAGAGCAGGGGTCCTCAACCCCTGGTCCGCAGCCCGGTGCCAGCCCGTGACCTTGGTAGGACCAGTCCATGGAGACAGATCTCCCACCCACCCACTCTGCATGCACACACCCCCATGCACGCACGGCCCACCCGCCTACTGGCAGACATGGGGGCCCTGCCCCCTGTGAGCACACCTTGCCCTTGTGAGTGCACCCTGTGCCATCAGCATGGGGGGGTGCCAGTCCCCCCGCACAGGACCCTGCACCCCCAGTTGGTTTGCGGGTTGGAAAAGGTTGGGGACCACTATGATAGAGGACCCAATGTGGCTCAGAATAGATAAAACAACACACAGTATTTGAAAAGAAAAGGTATGGTATGGTATGGTTATGCCCCGCTTAACGATTACCCCACATTATGATGAATCCGCTTCACGACGATGTTTTTGCGGTCGCAATTGCGATCACAAAACAATGTTTTAAATGGGGGTTTTTCACTATGCGAAGATCGGTTCCCTCCTTCGGGAACCGATTCTTCGCATTACGATTAAAACAGCTGATAATCGGGTTTTCAAAATGGCCACCAGGTGCTCAAAATGGCTCCCCGCTGTGCTTAGGGACAGATTCCTCACTATACAGGCACCAAAAATGGCCGCCGTATGGAGGATCTTCACTGGACGGTGAGTTTTTAGCCCATTGGAACGCATTAACCGGGTTTTAATGCGTTTCAATGGGTTTTTTTATTTTTACTTTACGTTTTCGCTCTAAAGCGATTTCGCTGGAACTTTACAACGTTTTCGCTCTAAAGCGATTTCGCTGGAACGAATTAACGTCATTAAGCGAGGCACCACTGTATAACATTTCTTAAAAATCAAACAAATATTAAGATTTTTGAAAAGGTTTAAAACAATTAGAAAACCTTTTAAAATCTGTATGTTCAAAAAACCAGCATTCCGGAAACAACTCACTTCTTAAAAGCCTGCTTAAAGAGGGAGGTTGTGCAGCAGCAATATTTTATTTGGATAAAAGTGTATATAATCATATAACACAGCCACCACAAGGTTTAGAAGGTATTTTGCTACTTACCCACACACTGGTTGTTTTCATTCATTTGATAACCAAATCGACACATGACAGGAGCTCTTGCGGCAGCAGCAGGATAATTTGCAGCTGGAGCTTGAGGTGGTGGATATAAACTGGCTGCATAAGGATTCATAATTGGTGACCGATAAACAGTATCCGTTCGTGGAGCACATAGGTAGCCACCATGCTGGTTAACACACACCATATCTCCTCTACAGGCTTCGGTGATAGTCCGACATTCGTCAATATCTGAAGGAATGCAGAAATGGGGAAAATTTTTGCTGATTAACTCAATAATTAGTTTATCTAAATTTAATCAATACATCGTTAAATCAAAAATGAAAGTATGTCCACCTTCGTATAGATCAGATTTCAGTATAAATGAAAAACACAAAGAAGTGTGAGATCTGATATTTTTTTAAAAAACATGCTCAAAGATAAATTATGCAGGAAATGCTCTGGGATTAAGATGGTTAGATTCACATTATTTTCCACTAACTGCATGGCATACAAGTCAATGTGAACCAACCCAGAACATTTCCACCCTAATCTGATTTTTTTTCATACATTTTCTTTCTTTCTTTGACAGAGAATGCATCTGCATTGGTTCAGGTGGTGTCATCGCTTGTGCCTATGCAGAAATTATCTGCCATCACCAAATACTGAACAGGGAGTAACTCTTAAATTAAGAAATAAAGAGTAGAGTTTTTAAAATTGTTCTTGTTCTGTTTTTAATATGAAAGATTTAATCATTTCCATGATAAAGCACCATTTTAATTCAAATTGTTTCTCTCCCCCCCTCCTCTCTCTCCTCTCTTCCCATTCTGCTTCCTTTTGTTTTTTTAAAAAGTCTTGAGTGACGCTGTTGAGCTATGGCATGTAGGAGACCAAAAAGGAAAAAGAAGAGCAAGGAGTCAACAGAGAGGAAGGAGAGAAGTGCTTATCAGCAGTTCTTTGCAGCCTGTTGTAACCATGTCTCCTGGAGATTTGAACAGCAACAGAAGAGCTACCTTAACAATCTGCAAACAACAGTGACTGCTAATTTCCTCTTCTCTTCTTTGCTGACTCCTATATGGTTGGCTCAAAGAAAATCACCCAAGGAAATCCAAATTCTTGGATGTGACTTTACAGCAGATACTTGTGCATTTTTCCTGCTGTATACACATTTACTGTTAGAAGGAGCAAGCATTACTAACAATTCTCCTGGATACAGTAACACATGTGAAAGAGAATGGATTTACTGTGCAGTCATGTAGGTTGTTTCTATAGTCATGGCCAAAAATATTGGCACCCTTGCAATTCTGTCAGAAAATGCAAGTAGGGAGGTGTAAGAAGCTCATTCATGGTTATAGGAAGTGATTGATTTCAGTTATTGTTTTCCAAAGAGGGTGCTACCAAATATTAAGTTAAGGGTGCCAATAATTTTGGCGAGTGCATTTTTTGGGTTTCTGTGTGGGATTGTATCAGATTTGACTTTTCTTCTGTTTTTTGTGTTGTTCCAACCCAAACCAAAGAAATGAGCATGTGAGTACCAAAACATCTACAACTGCAAGAATTTTCTGAGAGAAGGGTTGCATTTTCTGACAGAACTGCAAGTGTGCCCATATTTTTGGCCATGACTGTATATAGGCTGCATGTGGCGTTTCCTTTTTGAGGAGAAATTAGAAATGTTCTATGTCTGAGAAAACTGCTGTGGCTGATGACATCATTAGGCTTATGCAAGGGGGGAGGTTGCAGTCCTTTTGCAGGAGAAATTGCTGAAGGTAGAATATACTACTCAAGTACTACGGCAATTTCATGGAAGTCATAAGCTCTTACCATATAATTTAGAAACCGTTCTACTCCAAGTTTCTGCAGCAGTGTTCCTCAACCTGGTGCCCTTCAGATGTGTTGGATTTTATGTCCCATTATTCCCAGACAGTGTACTACTGACTGGGCATGGTAAGAGTTTTAACTGAGTACATACATCTTGAGAGAAGTGGTTTAGGAGAACTGGTTTGGGTTTCTACTTCAAATTCACATGATGAATCCTTGTTATCTCATATTCATTGAAAGCTATCAGAACTGGCTTAAGCAGACTGGAGAGCTGCTTGAACTGGTAAACTTGAGGATACCATTAAAGGTCACAAATCATGAGAGTGGATTTTGCAGAACTTGACAGAGAGGTGGAGAGAAACTCAACAGTAAAAAAAATCATTATAATTCAAGTCACAAGATCTATGTTCAAGTTTCAAGATGCAGACTAAATGCTTGGAGAACCTGTTTGAGGTGCAATGGTATCAGGAAAAAAGATCACTTCCAGGAATGTAGAACAAGAGGGGTGATCAGACGAGTATACTGTATACTCACAATTTCATTTGTTTTTGGTGCGGTTTGGTTCAACCTATTTTCCGGCAACCATGTGTTTTCAATAAGAGAGACCTGTTCTGCTCCATTTACAATCTGTCCAACTCCTTTCTGGGACAGTGCTAGAGCTGGAGTTTATTTGATGCAATCATTAATGCTCCTGATTGTCCAATGCTCCTGACTGGGGCAGGGAGCCCGTGTGGTTGGTTAATTCACACCCAAATAGAGCTGGGTTCTGGAGCCCGTGTGGTTGGTTCACACCCAAATAGAGCTTGTGGATGGTATTATTTGAGGTGACAACCCTGTGATGTACTCAGTGAGTTGTGACATTAAAGGAGGATGGAGGAACCCCGCCTTCTATTTTCATATTGGCTTTTGCTGGTCGTGACTTTAAAGGAGGATGGAGGAACACCGGCTTCTATTTTCATATTGGCTTTTGCTGGTCTTTGAACGCAATAAATTATTCATTAATTCATTTATTCTATTTTCATATTCTTTTTTAAAATATTCCCCTAACTGATGCCATGCAATTCTAATACATTGGAGGTGTCTTTCAGTGCAATATGTATAATATTATGGGATGCTAGGTTGATGCATTGCTGTAATACTATATCAGTTACTTTACAAAAAAGTGGGAAAGTTGTGATGGCCTGTGGAATGGCAGCCATCAAAAAAAGGGAGGAAGGGCATAAATAATTGAAAGGGGGACAAATTGGAGCAATCTAAAGAGTTGCCTCGACCTTTCTCACGGGAGAAGAAATGTCTCCAATGTGAATGGAAGAATCACTCAAGAGCAAGAGAAAATAGACTGCACCACAGACAAGTACCTTTCAAACATGAGATGAATTGCTCCAACTTCCCTTATTGGGTCATGCCCATAGTTTCCTTTCTGTGCTTCTGTAAAAAGTGCTGTAGAAAAAGTCCCTTGGTGAATTATCCACTGTGTTTAATTGAAGCACCCAGTCTCTCTGTGGTTTTTACAGCCATGCTGGATGCCATCTAACTATCTTATTCAAATAGTAAAGATCTTAAACTAGCCTTCTAAATTCCAAATCCCATAACCTGATAATTGCATCTTCTAGTTATAGCCAATTCTCGTCACATTTGTTGCAACTAATCACAATTGACAGCAAATACAACTGAAACCCTAAGCTGGATATTCCTGTTGTGAAGGATGCCCATAACCAAAGCATTGTCAATAGACGTTGCAGATAATGTATTGTTGAATTAGAATTCGAAGGGCCTGATGCAATAAAAATCTTACCTAAGCATCTGCCTGAGGCACGATCAAATTCAAACCCATTTGAGCACTGTTGCTATAAAGAAAAAAGGACACAGTTAAAGGCAAATGGGAAGAACACATAAGTATATATAAAATGTAACTAATGGACTGGGGCAGGGAGCAAACTACCCTAAAATTTTGGAAAATGCTCTTCACATAGCCATGCGCTACCTACCTACAACACAAATCAGAATATAACTCTCCATGTTTCTCTGCCTCTTTCAATTTTGAGTTCATTAAATATACAGCAAAAACATACAATTCAGATACTATCATAAGAATTCCATAGAAAAACATATATGACTCATATATTAGTAAATCTATAGCCTGGTTTCCCAACAATTGCGAAAATTCTGTTAGGTAAAGTATGCCAATATAGGTAAAGGTAAAGGTTCCCCTTGACAATTTGTCCAGTTGTGTCCGACTCTAGGGGGCGGTGCTCATCTCCGTTTCCAAGCTACAGAGCTAGCGTTTGTCCGAAGACAATCATCCGTGGTCACATGGCCAGCGCAACTAGACATGGAATGCCGTTACTTTCCCACTGTGGTGGTACATATTTATCTACACATATTTTGCATGCTTTCGAACTGCTAGGTTGGCAGGAGCTGGGAAAGTGACGGGGGCTCATTTTGTCGCGTGGATTCAATCTTATGACTGCAGGTCTTCTGACCTTGCAGCACAGAGGCTTCTGCGGTTTAACTCACAGCGCCACCACGTCCCTATGCCAATATAAGGAAGATGATTTCATCCAGCAGAGGAAGCTGGCAGCAATTAAAGTGTTCCTGCTTTGATTCTTGTTGCATGTGAACTGTGCAAGCTGTGGAATGGAAGCATAACTCTTTAACAATCTGCAGTCTCTACCTGAAGACAATTGTGACTAACTAAGAAGGTTCTGCTTCTATCCTGGGGCTCTCACATCTCATGCACAATGAGACTGATTGCATATCAGCCATACAAGACTTGGGATCAAAGCAGCAGCTCTTTGTTTATTGGCAAATCCCCAACCAAAATGACCTTAAACCTGCATATTTTACTCAACAAGATTTGGGACACTAAATCTGAAAATAATTTAGGTGGCCTTGGTGACCACCTAACATGAGTCTGAACATGAGATAGCAGTGTGATGTGGCTATTTTAAAAAGCTAATAAAATCTTAGGCTCCACCAGCAGAAGCACAAGAAGATGCACTCTTCAGGTATTTGGTATGGATGCATAAGTCTAGCCTCACCCATTTGACAACATATGTTGGTTACACACACTTGGTCAATACATGAGCAACCTTGTATGCACAAAGATTCCCATTCCCATGGCATTCTTTACATGTAGTAAAAATTCCCTTCAGATGAACACCATTGACATACTAGTAGGATGTATGGTTGCTACACACAGTAGTATCAAAGGAGATTTGGTCTTGCACGTTACTGCTGGTCCCTTCATGCATTCTGCATCTACAGGTATCACATACTTGATACCTTCTGCACTGATCAAGTTGTACCTGGCATGATGTGTTCAGCTTTCATCTGCAAATTAATTAGACAGTTGGAAATACCACCCGTCGAGGATGCTGTAGTTGCATCCTGTGTAGTAAATCCTGCATTGTCCATCAACTCTAAAATTGTATGTCTAAAATGGTAAGACTAGGCTTATTCTCATATGAATATTAATCTATTAATGTGAATCTAAAAGCAGAACCACAACAAAACTATCCCATTAAAGCTCAAGCTTGGTTTAAAAGTCTGCCAATATTTTGGTGTTCTCTTGGTTTTGATGTGTTTTTCAGAGAGAAAAAATCAAAGAGAAAAAGGAAGTTTAAAAAAATGTTCAAAGGTTTAAGAGAGATATATTTAGCTAAAAGCAAACTTTCTAAAATTAGATGTAGTTCAAAAGACCAGGTGGCTGAACAGAATCATTGGCTTCAAGTTTCTCCAAATTCCACCGTGCATCTTCTGGCAAACTATAAGAGGATCTTGCTGAGTGAACATAAGGCCTTCAAAAGACCACCCTCTCTTCTGTCTCTTCTCTCTCTTGCCCCAACATTTGCCACTGGCAGAGTTCAAATGCTCCAAATACAGTACTGTGCCATTTAAGAGGCAAGTTTGTGCCGAGAACCGGAAACAAATGATGCTGTTGTTTGGACATATGTTTGCAGTTATACTGTGGAAGGGATTACCAGAAATACAGTACTGTGTCGAAATTACACTGTAGAACTGCTTTCTAAAAGATAGGCACCTAGCCCCTCCTATGCAGGCATTGAACTCTAAAAGCTTTCCTCGGCTGAATTGCCTTATGTATGAAAAGCAATTTTGCCAAAGCTTTTTTTACTTACTGTGGTCACCGTTATGTCTTGCACTGGACTGTTTTCTCATTTATTTGCCACTTTGTTATGGGGAAGGGGTAGCTACTAGAGACTGCCCTAACAGCCCTGATTGGCTAGTGGGGAGTGGGGTTTCCCTGCTAGCCTGACAGGGGAAAGATCCAAGCGGTGCAGGGGGGCCAGAAAAGGAGGATTTTCTCCCAAGTCTGCCTGCCTGTCCAGCTTAAAAGCAGTGGTCACAGCCACCCATCGTCCAGGCTGCTGCTCACCAGCACCCAGCTCTTCTTTTCTCTCCCTCCCTCTTTTACAGCAGTGGCAGGATGTGTTGTTGTTTGTTATTGCCTAGGTTGTACGTGGGATGGCCAGTGTGTTTTTAATGTAATATGCGTGTACACTCAATCTTGTCACAACTTTGTTGGTTGTTTGGGGCATTGGGGTTGGAACTGGATGATGTAAGGTTGAAGACAGGAGTCTAATCGCACAGAACAGTTAATGAACCTCCCTGTACAAGCAGTTTGGGGCAGGGGCAAGGTGTGGTCCACTTTGGGGACCCACAGGCCCAACCCCTGCCCCAGGTGTGTGAGAATCACGGAGTGGCATACACCCACGTGGTTTCCAGAAGATGGCCACTTCTGGTGGAACCTTCAGTGGCTGCTGAAGTGAACGGTGGAGGGCATCAGGTGGCAATCAGGCTTCTCGATGGACCCGATCCAATCCCCCAGTGCTGGCCAGGGACTGCTGCTGTGACCAATAAAGGTGCGGACTTTCCTCCAAAAAAAACCTGTGTGTATTGTATTCCTTTGTAGTTTATAGAGCCCTGGGGAGAGCCCGCTCAGCGATAGGCCAGCAAGTACTTTTTCTGCAGTTTATTCATGATCATATCCAGAGCCAGGAATTAATAAATCTATGTACTTATCCTTCAGCTTCTCATTTTTCAAGATTAAGTTCGTTTCTTTCCCATACTGGTTGGTATAGTGAAGCTACAGATAAAAACACTGTTTCTGATACATTTGTAGCATGATTCTACAAAAACATAACAGAAAATTTTGCAGCTTCCAATGTTTGCTTTTATTTTTGCAGAGGTCACATTACCTCCATTACCTTTTGACAAGCTGATGGAAATGTTAAGCTCCAGTTCTGCCTGAAACCAACCTATTAGCATATTTTCGCTCTAAGAGCGCACTGCTTCTTGGTCCATTTCTGCACGAGCCCACAGTAATATAGGTGAAGCTGACATATTTATATACAAATACATATATCTCACCTGTGTCTTCCCAGGAGTTATAAAGCAGCCAGCCACCATGAAAATGGTCATTATCCTGCAATAGGAACAGAAACCTTCATCATATGCATACTTATGTGGTGCTCAACCCAAGGCATTTGGCTACCTGAACCAGAACAGCAAATGACACCTTCCCCCAGCTGCCATTGATACCAAGGTGCATAGCACCCAAAGGCAGCTGAGCTGTTTGGACATGTAATGCATAAAATCCCACAAGCACTATTCCTCCTTCTTAGCAATAAAAATACAATACAACAAAAATTACATTTGTTAATGGTGGGTAGGTGGGGCTTGTCAGCCATGGAAGGCAACCCATCTAGGAGAACGAAACTATGATCTCAAACCTCCACTGCCTTGTGGCTATATCCACGGATGGAAAAGGATTCAGGAGTTAACCTTGAGGCAAAATCTGGAGCCGGAGTCCCAAAGGCGGTTTGTATTCTGGCAACTCCTGCGACGTCACTGGAACCAGTTGTATTGGCCCTTGCCTTTCCATTGGACTATTTAAGCAACATGGAGAGGGGGGATTTGCTGTTGGTAACAGCCTATCCTCCATATTATTTTACCCAGGCTTCGTGCTCTGGAGAGGACACTCATACAGAGCACGTTACCATAGTCTCTTGAGACTGAAGGATGCCTACACATTTGTTAATTTTCTACCCATTCAAACCATCCAGAATCTGCTGAGGTTTTCCTCATTGCACACAATTTGCAGACTACCAAATGTGAAGATTACAATTACCATCACCTCCAATAGTCAGAGCCCATGATGAGTGCTAATAACGACTTTAAAAGTGCAATACCAGGGTTAATAACTGTCACTCTTTTTCTCACATCTTACTCAGTGCTCACTCCTGCAACCATGTACTCCATGTGTAACACCCGTGACCTAACTATTGTGCTCCATGTGCCTAAGGAAGTGGATTGCAGTCCATGAAGGTTCTCTCTGAAATAAATCGGTTATTGTTTTTATGGCACAGAGAACAGCATTTGTCTCTGCAAATGTCTCGTGCTGGCAGCTCCCACAGAAACTTAATAGAGGGAGTATTAATACAATGAGGCTCCACTTATGTTCAATTTCTACATATGTGTAAATGAACCTTATATTGCAGAAGTGCTAATAAGCTTCCACATGCTCACTAGGTGTTCCTGTTGGTTGGAGAATCGTAATAGAGATGTTTAACAATCTCCCTTTCTGCCTTCATTCATTTCTATAACTTCGGTTCACACTAGGATTATTTGGTGGTATATTTAAGAGGTAAGGAACTAGCATAGTTCACTAAACACAGTCCACCAGTATGTTGTCTTGTGCAAACTCTTATTGGGAGAAATGTATGACATCCTGGTAATTCAATGGTGCTTGTGTAACACTACTTTCTGAATGTTTCCATGAATATAGGTATATTTCATATGTTTATAGCTATCTAACCATAAAAACTATAGCCATATGAATGTAGCATTTACACCTATTAAGCACAAGCAAATACAGTTAAAGGAGATAGAGTAACCACTTTATTATTAAGTTTACAAGTTTTCAGAAAGCTTAATTTTAGAAAAGCTTCTACTATGGCCAGTTCTAGAGTTTAAAGTTCCCATTGCCCTGGTAAATAATCATTGCACACACACACGAACCTAAGCAAATGCTTTAGTTGCTTTGTGTTTTGCAGGCAGATGTTGCTTTGCTTGGCAGCCTCTCAATTGCAAAAAAAGGAAAAAAAAGAACAAGAAATTTGTTCTCTGGAATCATTGCTCATTGCTGAATCCAGTACATTTTGAAATGCTATGTCATCCATCCCTTTCATACTGCACTTTGGCTTTAGATAGCCTTAACACTTTCTGGAGAAGTAGCAAATCCCATGTTGTACAATCCAATGCATGTCCATTACACAGAAAAAGGAAGAAGAAAAATCAGCTTTATGGCATAGTTTACTTAGCAGCAGCAGTACGTTTGCCACATGTATACAGCTAGAATGGCTGCCAGTCCTTGCTCCCCAACAAACATATTCACATGACACATCTGTTTTGCAAACACATGTGCCTTAAAGATGCACATCTTAGATGTGCGCCCACCCAATTAGATCAGGCCAAAGGTCTATCCAGTTCAATTTTTTAAAAAAAGTTTCTAAGCTTTACCTATGATTGCCAGCCAAATGCATACAGGAAAACCATCAACGAGGGTGTAAGGTAGCTACTCTCCTGCTGGTCCCCACACTAGCAATTAATATTTGGAAGCACAGTGCCTCATCACGGATTGAGCCCTTAGGCAATTAGTCATGGATAAATCTAGACTTCTAAAGCGATCCTGAGGAAGCCAGCTTGGTCCATGTGCAAAGTACTACTTTTTACACCTTTTCCAGTTGGGCTTTCAGTGCCACACATCGGGAACTTCTACAGGAACCAATCAAAAGGGGGGTGGGGAGAGGAGAAAACTCAGTTTCCAGATGCAAGCTTAAACCTTTAGCTTAGTGTCTTTGTTTTTTCAGTTTGTTTTCTTCTGAAACAAAGGGTGTCTCCAGACAGGTACCATCTAGTATTAACACTACCAGTCAAAGAAATTGTACACCTGTCCTATTTCCTCTAAAGGTGGAAAAAACTGGTAAACAAACATGGAAAGATTACAAATACAATACCTAATCATTTGCCCCACCTGATTCCAAAGATGCTGTGTTTAAAGTCTAACTACTACAGGATGACAGTCTCATTTGGAAGCATCCTAATTTTACCTGAGCACACATAACTGGCAGTATGGACATTCTTCCCCCTCTGTTATCTCTCCCTTTCAAAATTAAATTAAAAATTCTTTGGGACTGGGACATGCCTCCCCCCCTTTTTAAATAAAGCTCCTTTTGAAGCAGCCCTGCAGATATTACTGGAATTAATATCCCATCATATGTCCCAACTAATTATGCCATTTAGGATTGGCGGGAGTTGCAATCCAATGACAAGAATAGTAAAATAACAGCAATGGCAATCTCAAAATGCACAAATGAAATCCACAAAGTGTGCAGTTGCTCTATAGCTTTTCAGTTTATGACTTAGCTTGTTTTAAGAGATATTCTTGGATTTGCAAAACAATCTTAGAGAGATTCTCTGCTTCTGTTTCTTCACATCTCATACAATCTCATACAAGGTATCATAAAAGGAATACTGTGAAACTGACATAATACATCATCTATCAATAATAGCATTCACCTAAAGAAATTGACTGTAGTAATCAAGAGATTCAGAAATCTTCCCCAGCATTTAAATGATTTTCAGCTTGAGCTTCACTACAGTAATTGTTCATACACACTTGCAGAGAAATTAAAACCACTGTTTCTATAAGTTACTGAGCCCATAAAGGGCAGAATATAGTTCTGTAACTGGAGTCTGTATACACACACAGCTTATCCTCCTTTCTTTACATATAGCATTAGCCAACAAGACGTAACTCCAGCACAGTTGACTGAGATTTGCATTCAGCAAACTGTAACGAAGAAACCCAAGCACGAATTTAGCACATTGGACTTACCTTCTTAATCCTGTCATGTCCAAAACTGAGGAAGAAAGCTAAAGGAGGGAAAAAAACAATGCCTGCACCACTGAATGGCTAGAAACACTTCTGTACATTAAATCTCCTGTTAGCACTTCAGACCTGCCATCCTTTTTATTCCAGAGAATGAAAGACTGAATCATAGAGAAACAGAAGAAGAGAGACAGAAAGACAGAGAGGGAGAGAGAGAAAGAGAAAGGGAAGGAAGGAGGAGGGAGGGAACGAAGGAGGGGAGAAAAGGGAAGGGAGGAGAAGAGCTTTGCTCCTCCTCAGACACTGGAGAGAATACAGCAAAAACACCTGGTTTTGCTTAGTTCTCTTCTGTAATTCAGCATTAAACCAATTGGAGGAGGAATGTTAAAAATGAACACTTCATTTTCTAAGTATGTTAAACAATGCAAATAGGAGGCCTCAGTCTGGGGACAGCTGGTTTAGATTAGAAAGCTCACCAACTGGCTAGACTCCCCACAACACTCCTGAGGAGCCTGCCAGGATTGGGACGGGTGGGACAAGGAGGGGGGGAGAGAGAAATGCTGACAGTTTGAAGGGAAGTCTTGCCTGCTACAAATGTCGCAGAAGCGTTTACAAGGGTACAAGTGGCATAGGACAGAGAGAAAGATTTCTATGCTGGAACGTCAGGGAAATTACAGTAATATAGAAATACTGCAAAGGCCTTCCCCAAGAGGAGGGGTGCACGTGCATTGTTATCCCACCCACTCACCGACAGCAAAACTGAAGAAAATCTGAGCCACGCCTCAAGTAACCAAAATTCCTTATGACTTCTTTAAAAATGCATTTAGGGACAAGAGCCGGCAAGTAAACATGTTCAAGAAGACATTTGACACCTGAAATGTTGGCACACACATTTTGGATCCCTACCTACCCTAGTTTATGCTAAGGCAGAAGTTGCATTTTGCCAAGATAGAAGATTATTGGGCTTTTACTGTTGCTGCCATTTGATCCAGGGATGTTGTCAAACCACCCAGATCATTCTTTCCATCTGGTGAATCCAAAATGGAAGTTCACAGTAAGGCAGTGGCTTCCAACTTTGGGTCCCCAGATGTTCTTGGACTAAAACTCCCAGAAGCCTTCACCACTGGCTGTGCTGGCTGGGATTTCTTGTCCCAGAACAAGTTTGGGAACCACTGTCTTAAAGGGTTATGGAAACCTCTGAATGCATTTCAGGTAGAAGAGCTGTTCTTTTCATGATTACCCTATTTGAGGCTTGCTGCTTTTAGCCATTTCCTCCCTATAATAAAAACAATTATGCGCTATCATGTCAGTTTCTGGTCTATGGTGGCCCTTTTCAAGATTCATTAGGCTTGGAGATGATATCATCTTACTGGCGAAAAGCAGCAATGACTTGAAATGATTTTTAGTGAAAGAAAAAACTGCCAAAGCAGAACTCCAGTTGAACATGAAAAGACAAAAAAATTAAAAAAAAAACATGACTACAGAACAACCGCACAACTTTAATGTTGATGATGGAAAAACTGAATTTGTTAATTTTTTTTTAATATCTTGGGTCAATCATCAGTCCAAGTGGAGACTGCAGCCAGAAAAGCAGAAGAATCTTGAGACTCAGGAAGGAAGCAACAGTGGAATTAGAAAAGATCATCAGGTGTCACTGAAGACCAAGACCAAGATCATCCACACTGTTGTATTCCTGCACAGTAAAGGAAACAAACAAGAAAATTTGAGTATTTGAAATACGGTTTTAGAGGCGAGCTTTGCAGATACTCTGGATTGCTAGAAAGACAAACAAGAGAGCCTTAGAGCAGTTCATGGTCAGTACCACAATCTGCTCCTGGTCTCATTCTGACAGAGAGAATACAGTTTCTCCATCTCTTGCTTCCAATTACAGTCTATTCACTTCCCCTCTCCACTTTCTTCACAAAAAAATGGAAGGGGAAAGCAGGAATAATCAAAGCACTATTATCGCTGCTTTCCCCCTCCACTTGCTAAGCCCTGCTTAGATTTCTTAATTTCGTGTTAGAAAAATGTGTGGGTTTTATACATGGGGTGTCTTGGAAAAATACAGTAGCTTGAGTGTCACTGCCATTATCTTTGAAAGATCCTCCACCAGTTTCACCTTCAACTACCACTGCTGCCTTGTAGCTGCCCTCTAGAAGCATCTTTACCCCCGTCAACCTTGGAACCACCCATCCTTTTCTACTGATGTAGCCATTGTTGTACACTTTTTAAATTGCATTTTGTATAGTGTGCGACCTATCTGGAAGTGGTTCAGGTGATAGGCCTCCCCCTAGTTTTTCCCCTGACCAGTTTGCAGCCTTTTTAAAATCTAAAGTGGAGGCCATCCACCGGGAGCTCTCTCCGTGTTTAAAAACAGCGAGTCGAGCAGAGATGTCCAGCGCTCCGTCTTGCCTGGTAATTTTTGACTCCTTTCAGCCTGTCACACCCAATTCCGTTGCCAGGGTGCTTGATCACTGTCGAGCCACCACCTCCTCCTTGGACCCTTGCCCGGCC